CACTCTTTCTTGTCCACTCTCTGTCTTTCTCTATCTCTTTCTCCTTCTGTCCCCTCACTCTCCTCTGTCTCTCTTTCTCTCTTTACCTTCTTTTCTCTCTTCTCTCTTTTTCTCTCTCCTGTCTTTCACTTTCTCCCACTCTATTCTCACTTTCTCTCACCACTCGCTCTGTCTTTCTTTTTCTCCCTGTCTCCATGTGTCTGTCTCTGTCTCTCTCTTTCTCCCTCTTTACCTCCTTACTCTCCACTCTATCTATCTACCTATCTATCTATCACTCTCTCTCTCTCTTTCTCTCTCTCTCTCTATCTATCTATCTCTCTCTTTCTCCCTCTCTGCTTCCTCACTCTCCTCTCTCTCTTTCTCTCTTCCTCTCTTTACTTTTTTCATTTCATCTGTCTTTTTCTCTCCTCCATCTTTCTCTCTCTCTCACTCTCACTCTCTTCTCTCTATTTCTTTCTCTCTCCCTCTCTCATTCTCCCTTTCTCTCTATCTCTCCCACTCTCTGTGTCTCTCTGTCGTTCTCTCTCTCTCCTCACTCTCATCTCTCCTTTTCTTCCTCTCTTTACATCTTTCTCTTTCTATCTCCCCTCTCGCCCATCTCTATCTGTATCTCTCATCCTCCTGCTTTTCTATCTCTCCCTCTCACATTCTCTTTCTTTCTATCCCTCTCTCTCTCTCTTTCGCCCACTCCTTCATCTCCGGTTAGTTATTCCGCTGAGCCTCTCCTCCCACGCTCCTCCGCTCGTCAGACTGCTGCAAACTTTGGCTTGAGCGTCTACAGTAACACGGAGACACAGATCTGCATACGCTGCTCCCTGCTCCTCTTCATCCTCCTCTTCATCCTCACACACACACACACACACACGCACACACACACTGCTCGTCTTCATCCTCATCTTCATCCTCACACACACTCGCTCATTTACTTTTGCTTTTCCCCTTTGGCCTCCTCCTCAAAGAAGCTCACAGCGACGGGTTCAGAGGGACGACGACGGACTGGGACTGTTGCCATAGTGATTAACAATTTCAAACTAAAACTTGTCTCTTTTGATTAATGAGAAGTTCTGCAAGATGTTGAATATAAGGAAGCTGAAGTTGTAATGAGGTCTGTTGCTCTTTTGACTCGTGGTGTTTTGTCAGGGCTTGGGAGCGGCATACAAGAAGCAGCACATGGTCGTTTTGAATACTTTAACATATTTCTGATAATTGAGTCAAGTTTGAGTTAATTTATTTGAACTTTTTTTTATTTTAAGGTATGAAGGCACAACATATAGTCAACAACTCTCTTAAAAATAAAAGAGAACAAAAAAAAAGAGAACTCACAAAAAAGAGAACAAACGTGTTAAAAACATTCATTGTTCAAAAAAGGAATAGGAAGAAGCATAATTTATTTGAATCCTGCCACTACAATTTACAATATTTCTTCTACATGATATTCAGTCGTTAAGTACATTATAGTAAGGGGCAGAGGCGGTGCTACCATTAGGCAAAAGTAGTCAGCTGCCTAGGGCCCCCAATCCTGGAGGGGCCCCCAACCAATTGCCCTCAGAGCCACTAATAGCCGAGGACTCAGAGCAATTTGATTTTCTCTTAATATAAATGAGAGTAGTTTACTTTTTAACAATAATAATAAGAAAAAATAATAATCAACATATGTAATGGATGTAAACAAAAACGTAATTGTACTAGCAAAAAAATAAAACTACTTTCAGCTCTGGTTAGACAAGTTTCCAATTTACCATAATTCAAATAAATAGAGATGTGCATGTCCCAAGAACAAAACAAAACAAAAAAACTGTGCATTATAGTGAGGTTCCCAAACTCAAGTTCACTTAGGGCCCCCAAATTGCTAACTCTGCCACTGGTTAGGGTTGTGCAAAACTACTGAAATATTGATATATCGTATTGTTTAATGTGATGATACAATATCGATATTGATATATTTCTGAGAGTATTTTTTGGTATATTTTACTAAATTATTTTGTTACAGAGCTACAGTTTTGTTGCTTGTTTAGAAAAAGGAAACTCATTTATGCAACACATTTGACATTTTCACAGTTTTGAGGATTAAAATGGGCGTTTTTCATATGAACTTTGTACTAGAAGTGGTTTGACAAAGACTTTCAGTATCACAGCCATGATTTAGCCATTATTTTTATTGAACTGTATGGAATCGCTTTAAAATATATCGTATCGAATCGAAAGTGCACTGTATCAAGATATGAATCGTGTCATGGTCTATGTATCGAGGTGTGTATTGTATCGGCAACTTTTTAATGATACCCAGCCCTAATTATAGTGTATCTTTAGATATTGGACATTAGATAAATTAGATAAAATGTAAAAAAACTAAAAACAAAAAAACAATAATAAAATAATATAATGTGTAATTATACAGTTTATATAGTCTGGTGCTGTCTATACATTTTACTGTATCTTTAAAGCTCTCATGAAAATGTTATTGCTTTAATAACACTTGAAGTTTGAAATAAAATTTTTTTAAAAATACATGCAAACTAATTATATTCATGGATTTCAGCTTCCTGTTATATGAGACAATTATGAGAACTACATACTCCCACATTCAGTAGATATCATATTTAGTTATAAATTGTTAACTGTTTTATTTTTTCATCGTTCTGAATCCCACATAAGAGCCTGAATGTGATCTCTTCTAACATAAATACCATGCTGCAAAAGTCCACAGTCTCTTGGCCAGTGTGTCCGGTCTAGAAATCCGTAGCAGATCTCAAAAGAACTCACTGTTCCGGGGGATAAAAGCCTCAAGAGTTTGAAATCTTTGTTCAAACTTTTGTCCGAAGTTGCAGTGAGTTGGTTTTCATTTTGTTTGGAGTCAGCTCTGTGTGACCGTGTGCCCTCCTGTGTCCACACACAAAGAACAGACGCACACACAGGAGGACACGGGAACATGAACCACACTGCAGGGGGCGTTGGTGCTCAACACGACCTTGTCCCTGCAAAATGTCAGAGTCACTTTGAACACTGGAATAAAAAGTAGTTCTTCTCATGAAAAATGTGTTAAATGCGTCTTACTGTGTGCGAGATTGCCTGCCCACAGATCTGACCTGTAACTGGTTTGATGGTGTCACCTGGGTGCAGTGGCGGTTCTGATATTTTTCTGAAACAGGAACCATTAAGGGGCCACATGTTACATTCAAGGGCCAAGTACAGGTACATCCAAGCATACAAATGAATACTTCAATACGGTGCAAATACAAGCACAGACAGTACAAAAAAAAAACCTCCACAGGTCTGTTTCTTCTCCCATTATGTTGTTTTGACCCAATAGATCTGCTGCCGCCAAGAGTTTGAGGGTGGAATTGCATTGGCACTTCAGGGGCCAATGAGATTAGAGGTGGCCCTGTGGCTCCTCCCTTAAAACCACCCCTGCCTGGTTGTCAAGATAAGTTAAGTTTAATGTCATACTGTGAAACATTCCAGCCAAAGCAAAGACATCTTCACGGAGACAAGCAGATGGTCCCATGGTTAAGTTACAGGTCACAGTTAATCTTTAAAAAGGGGGTATTCAAAATCGACTACCATATGGCCATATGAAGTCGTTCCCTCATCAAAAACATGCCTGAAGAGGTTTTAGATGTCATCCATGCATGTTTCAGTCATTTAGTGATCTCTCCTGGACCCTATTTATACCCTCCTTATGGTTAGCTGTAAGATTCTGCCTAGTGATCACAAATCTACGTCTTCCTCGCTCTCACCTGACAATTTTCCATAAATGCACAAAATGCACATGATAGAAAACAATACACTACAACTTCACAAACCTGATGTGATGTGCGGTAGTTTCATTGGCAGGTTACATGCTAATTGTGTTGTGATGGCACTGTGAAGAGAGGAAGACTTAGTGTGGAGACTCAAATCATCAAAACCTAAACTCAAGTATGTTAATATGTAATAACTGAATAGTAGCCAGGCTGGCGCCACCTAGTGCCTTCATTCAATATAATTTCTCTCCAGCAACTTCTTCAGGGATCAGAATACACTAGATGGTTTGCAAGAACCCCAGAAGAGTGAGTTCAGGCACCAGCCAGTCAGCGAAGAACCATACATTCTGTGTTGGATTCCCGAGATCGAGGATTTAAACCCGGAACAAAGAGAATGTTTGGTGAATTTTACCAGGGGGAAAAACGTTATTGTCCTTCTTCCTACGGGATTTGGGAAAAGCTTAATATACATGTTAACCCCATTAGCTGCGCATTACATACGTCACGATCAAATAGCAGCGACTGATTAAATAAAAAAAGATTAAAAAGTGCTCGCCTACTGTCGAGCAAACGAATCCTAATGCTGCGAGGTCAGACGGTTTCCACGAAATGAAACGATGAATCAGACTAGTTGAATATAGCATTTTCAAAATAAATATATTAAAAAATGACAACAAAAAATGTAAAAGGTGAGATGGTGATCTATAAATGTGTTAGCAATTAATATTAGGGATGTAACAATAACCAAAATATCGTGATATCGTATCGTCAAAAGTCTCACAATAATATCGTGGGCTGTCACAATATATCAAATCAGAAGTTCCTTTGCTTAAATGCATGGTTTTATGGTAGTAACAGCTAATAAACTACATAAGGGAACTACATATCACATGATTCATTTCAGTGCAGACAACATGAAGAAATATGTTTTTTACTTGACTTCTTGGGATTATGAAGGTAATAATTCACATCAAAATCTTGTCAAGGTATTTTAAAAGCACATAAAGTGTCCCATCTACAATTATATTAACCTCTTCAGAATATCACAATAAATATCGTACCGTGAGATGTATATTGAGAAATTTGGATATCGTTACATTCCTAATTAATACCCCAAAGAAGTGTAAGAGACATCTCATTTTAGACAGGAAAAAGCTGTGAAAATGTCTGGGGTCTGGGGCAACTTCGTGCAATTACAGATATAAGCGCTGACGTTGTTTCTATAGTAACAGTGTCTCTGCGTTTTCCCTCTTGCAGACCTTCACGGCGTGGTGTAACTCCCACTTGAGGAAAGCCGGGACACAGATTGAGAACATTGAGGAGGACTTCAGGAATGGCCTCAAGCTCATGCTGCTGCTGGAGGTCATCTCAGGTACTGCACCCGACACACAGCACCACCCAAAATATTTAACTTCATAACAAAATAACCGGTAGTTTCATACATTTTCTTGTCAAATGCATTTGTATAATTTGTGTAATGTGGCTCCTCATGCATTTTCCTCCATTTATTACAGTAAGAAGTAAGTTATAAGACTCCTAAACCATTATGACGACTTAAAAAAAGACCTATAAAAACTAGATGTCTAATAATAATAATAATAACGCACATAGATAGGCAAAAAAAAATCCTGATCATGAGCTTTATTCAAACTAATATAGACGACATAAGTATAGTTTAAAAAAAAAAAAACTGTTTGTGTTGAAATCTCAGTTTAGTTTCTACAAAAATGTCAAAATCGGGATCAAGTATCAAGTCTTTTCGTGAATATCTATCTTGAAATTTTAGAAACGCTATTCACAAGAGTCTTTAAAGTGAATCTCAGGTGAGGTGACTTCGTTTTACTGTAGATATTGTTTCGTGTTTCAGGTGAGAGGCTGCCCAAACCCGACAAAGGCAAGATGCGTTTCCACAAGATCGCCAACGTCAACAAAGCTCTGGACTTCATCTGCAGCAAAGGAGTCAAGCTGGTGTCCATCGGAGCAGAGGGTGAGGAAACTGAGTCGTGAATGAACAACTTCTATGCTGTGATTTTTATATTTATACCAGATGCCCTCCCTGATGCAAGTACCTTCATTTAGGCCTGAGACTGGTACATGGGAAATGAGATACTATTCAAGTACAAGAGCAGAGAGACTAGTACACGCCCACAGAGCACTATGAAACCAATATAACAACCGAGGGATTTTTTTTATTTTTTATTTTGTGATTATACAACACAAACAAAAAGAAAATACTATGATCTCATGTTGAAAAGCAGATTCTAAAAGCGTTCTAAAAAAAGAGAGAGAGTGTTTTTATTATCACAGTGGTGTTCGAATCAAGTCTATTTCCTTCATATCAAAATCAAGCTTGAAATTTTACTATCTTGATTAGGGCTGGGTGTCATTAAGAAGTTGTCGATACGATACATACCTCGATACATAGGCCACGGTATGATACATATCTCGATACATAGGCCACAATACGATACATGCCTTGATACAGTGCACTTTCGATTCAATACGATATATTTCAAATCGATTTGATACGGTTCAATAAAAAATGAACACTAAATCATGGCTGTGACACTAAAAGTCTTTGTTAAACCACTTTTTGCGCAAAGTGAATATGAAGCACAAACATTTTAATCATCAAAACTGTGAAAATATCAAATGTGTTGCATAAATGAGTTTTCTTCCCCTAATAAAGCAACAAAACTGTAGCGCTGTAACAAAATAATTTAGTATAATATACCAAATAATACTCTTGACGATAGACTGATACAGCAGCACTTGATATTGATACTGTATCATCACATTAAACGATACGTTATATTGATATTTTGATATTTTTGCACACCCCTAATCATGACAACGTTACTTGTACACATAATGTATTGAATTGTCCAAGGTCACAAAACCAGTTCTGAGTCACCAACCTAATGTTTTTGAAGTTTTTTAAGGTTTACAATAAAACTTTTCTGATGAAGGTTGTTAAGTTTTACACCGTTTGTGCAACCTTGAAACCTCCATAGATAAAAATAAAAATGTGTATATCACCTTTTTAAATAGTTTAATATTATAAAACCACTTCATTTCATTTAATTTCATTACATTTTTAATTTGTTTCATTCATGAAAGATGAATATAAAATAAATTCATACGTCAATGTGAATGAAAAGGAGCAGAAAGAAGTATAGACTTGTAAAATCTGTCCTCTTTTCAGACAAAATAAAACATTTCTAACACTTCAATGATTTCAACTTAATATATGATCTTTAGTAGCTACATTTACGTGACATACATTATATTAAATACTTATTAATGAAGACAAAAGGACTCTGCCATCTCAGACTTTTTAGCATATCATATTTGACCTTTCTTTTAAACATTAGATTCTTTTAAACAACAGATTTCGCAGCGTTGATTTGTTCCATCGACACCTTTGATCCAAACACTTCAACATGACTTTCCACATTTTTTATCGGAGTTGACTGAAGTTCTTTTTTGGTAAAGTTATGTTCTGAACTAACCAATTTACAGTGAGTTTTGAAAAGCAGAAATGATCTGGAGCCAAGGCAGCATGTGTTGGTTTTGTTAATCAATTGGACTGGTTCTCAGCGGGACTTCACTGTACAGACGGAGAATTTCAATGGTGCATCTTTTCCATCACTCAACTTCAAAAGCAGATCGTTTTTTCGCATTTCCTTCTCCTCTTTTGGACTTTCTCTCAATCCTCCCGGCTGTGTGCGATCCAATTAGCTTTCACTTCAAACAGACATAAGTGTAATTTCACTAATGGACAAAGCCGGGGCCTCATGTGGAGCGCAGAATATTAGAAATACAGATAAGGTCCAGTTATCTCAGTGGGGCGGTTTAGAGCGGGGTTTCCCAAGCTGCGGTACAGGGCATTTCGGGAGGTACATATACAGTAGAGTAGAGCGTAATGTTTACGTAGTATGTAGTATTTGAATCTTAAAAATGCTCTTTGTAGTAAAATCTGTGTCTTTATTATGAGTGTTTCTGAGGATTTTTGAGTATAGTTAAAGGTTCTATATTAGGTAAAATTGACTATTGTGAGTTTCAAACCATGTTATAATGCTGTTACCTCATCAAAATATACCTGGAGTTGAGTTTTGTCTTATTCACACATGTTTGAGTAATTCTTTATTATTAGTTTGTCTACATCTCCAAAGCTCAAAATGCTCTGTAGCTGTAGTTTTAAAGTTTTTTTGAGTGTTTTTTGAGAAGAATTCAGCCCAAATGTGCAGGGTTTGTGTGTTAAACTTGTGTGAATGAAACAAAACACAACTCCAGGGATGTTTTGGTGAGGAAACAACATTATAATAGATCAGAAAACAATGTATTTTAGGCCCTTTTATAGGCATTTTACTGCTAAGAACTAACTTAAACCATGCACAGTGAGCAGGGCTGTCTCTCTGTAGATCTGTCTTGTAACTTGGCCTGATTGTGTTATCTTTTTGATACAATGGAGACAGACAGACTGGCGACTCTCCATCAGAAAAGTTACCTAGTTTGCCTTTTTAAAACATTTTTAGATAGATTATGAAACAAGTTTGTTAAGTATACAGTATGTTATCATTGAATATTTGAAAATTGATGATTACTTTGAGTACAGGTGCAGAGATGTGTGCACAAAATGCCTACGTAATATAGTTCTTATTGTGTTATAACTTTATTTTTTCATTTATTTTGACAGAAATTGTTGACGGAAACGTGAAGATGACCCTCGGTATGATCTGGACCATCATTCTGCGTTTCGCCATCCAGGACATCTCTGTGGAAGGTCTGTGTCCCGTTTACCACAACAGCATTTATATAACTCATTATAGTGGATAATAAGTTTATTTTTAACTTTATCTGGCTCATAGACTGTATAAAAAAGTGGACTAAGCGAGTGTGATGTCACCCATAGTGTTCAGCGCCACTCAAATGAAGCTCACGATGATCACAAATACAGGAATTATGAATAGGATTTTTTTAAAGGACAAAATGGGGGGAAAAAAACCACCAGGATCATGTAGAGTGGGTTAATACAAACATTTTAAGACCAAAACGACAAAGCTCACTGCAGCTGTTACAGGGAGAAGGGCGATAATATTCTAATGTAAGTCAATGGGAACCAGGGTTAAAAGGAGCAGGAAGAGCCGCATGCAAAAAGCAGCAGCTAGTGTGTGCATTTATATATACTGTCTTTGATTTTACTGTACTGTTTTAGGTAGATTATGTCTTCAAAATCCTAACAAGTGACGATATAAAAATATAGCAAATTCAATTTGTCAACTGGACAAAAATTTATTTGGTCGAGCATTTTGACCAGAACTGAAGAAGCAGATTGGATGAGCTGCGAAACATATTCAACCAAATAAATTTTGTCCAGTTGACAAATTGAATTTCTCCTTTTGCCATGGATTCTACCTGGATGGCTGAGGGATTTTACACAGATATAAAAATATACAGAAATACACAAATCTGGAATCCCAACTTTCCCAACAAGTTTGTTCTCTTGTAGACCCACAGATCTTTTTGAATGGCACATTGAATCTTATCTACAGTATGGGTGGGCGGTATTGACAAAAATTAATACACATTTACTTTTTACTTTATTTAATTAATTAATTAATTTATTTTATTTATTTATTTGTATTTATTTATAAAGGATAGGGATGTAACAATAACCAAAATATCATGATATCATATCGTTCAAAGTTCTCACAATAATATCGTGGACTGTCACAATATATCGAATTACAAGTCTCTTTGCTTAAATTAAGAATTAAGGTGCAACAATAGCTATAAGATCATGATCCCTACATGAAGAGATAACAGCTCTAAGCACTTTTAAGTCTTAGTTCTTTGGATTAAGTCTTGTTAAGGCATTTTAAAAGGAAAAAGTAACATATTAACAGTTTTCTTAGTCTCCACAAAATATTGCAATAAATATTGTACCGTGAAAATATCTTACAGAGAGATTTGGATATTGTTACATCCCTAATCATGCCTGCCCACCATATCGTGAGCTTTCCCACAATATCGCAATAAATATCGTACCGTGAGGTTCATACCGTGACAATATCATATCATCAGATTTGGATATTGTTACACCCCTAATAAGGGACTATGTTATGTAAAATTGACTCTTGTGAGCTTTAAGCCATGTGATAATGTTGTTACCTCCTCAAAAACAGAGCTGGAGTTGTGTTTGAGTAATCATTTATTTTTAGTCTATCTGCATCTCCCAAGCTCAAAATGCTCTGCCCCACCTTGTGATGTCATGAAGTGGTAGTTTTCAAGTTTCAAGCAGAAATCAGCCAAATGATTTTTAGTGTTTTATTATGCAGGATGCAGGGTTTGTGTGTTAAACGTGCGAATGAAATAAAACACAACTCCAGGTCTGTTTGTGATGAGGAAAAACTATAACACAGAAAACAGCGTAATATTTAATACTTCAATCATCCCATCACAGGATATTATTGCAGTCCATGAAATGTGCCTATAAATGAAAAATGTGAAACAGAATATTGAAATTTATTACACATTTTTCCATATATAGCCTGAGTCTTATGGTATTTGATCCCACATCACTGTCAAACACGTCCTCATAATTCACTTTCTTCACCCTCACCTTGGCCTCTCCACTCCCCCGTGACACTGTAAACTCTTGCTGATTTGTTGCTGTGTAAATCTGACATCAGTTCAATGGAAGACTTCCCTGATTCGTAGTAAATTTTCCTTTCGTGGCGTTTTCTCTCCCCCAGCGTCCAAGGAAAGGTCATCGCGCTCCATTTGTGAATTATTGTGGCCCTATATGAAGCCACGGCCCTGGTTTAGACTGTCATTTGGACCTAACCTCCTCTGATCTCCCTTAACCCTGGTTTTATTGGCTTCCACTGCAATATCTCTCCTTTTATAAACTCGCCATCTCATCCAGCTCTGTGTAAGCACACCAATCTGTCTCTGCAGTAAAGGTGTTCTGTTCTTATATTGTCAATCAAAAGTATTAAAGTTAAAGCAGGTGTGTGATGAAGACTCGACTTAAAGGGCCTGTATCTGATTTTAATTTATTCTTGTCAGGATAAATCATGCATTGTAGGGTAAGAGACTGGTAATTCTCAGGTAATGACTAGTGCAGAAGCTACTGGCAATCTCAAACACACTAAGAATCTGCCTGACTTTCTCCCAGACACTTGACAAAGGAGTTACAAAAAACAACAACAACAAAAACAAATAGAAAGCAGAGACTGGGGATCTATAAGGAACTGTCTGACACTATCCCAGACACTTGATTCTATGTAATACGCTCTGTTTATATGTGATGACAACTTCCAGCAGGTTCTGTTCATGGTCGTAAGTGTGACAAAATCTAGGAAAAATGAGAAAATGGCCCAGTTTTCTTCATCTCTGTGTCATTGTAGCGTTCCGTTATATTCGACAAATCAACAATTACAACCACACCTCAGTTTTCAACATTTCCCCACTGATACACAACTCTAATCGCACTGGGGACATGCAATTAGAGAAGAAAAAAATGAAGAAAAAAAAAGAGAAAAAAATTCAAGATAGTTCTAAACAAAACAAAACAAATAAAAGTACTTAATTTTACCGCTGATCACATTTACTTCAGTGGGTTTTATCTCAGTTGGTCGGCGAGTCCATTGTCCGGGGTGAAATTTATGTTCTGTCATTTCAAAGATTTTTCTCAAAATTAAACTCTTAGTCAAGTCATTTTTATTTTTATACTGCATTTAAAGGGATGATTCAGAGTCATTTGAGCCTAGCATCATTTTTATTACATCTGTAGTCCACTGCTGCTGGATTATAGGTCGGGTGTAATTGACGACCAAATTGGGAGAAATTAGGATAAAATCTGATGCAAATTGATGATAAAGGAAATGTGGGAACATAGGGACTAATTTTGGGAAGAAAAAAATAATAAAATAAAATAACAAACCTTAGAAATGAGTGAACATATGACTGCGAGAACATAGGCACGCTCCCGTTGGTAACAACACCGGAAGATGTCGTCGCATGTTTCCAAACGTCTTCCTGGTTTGTGACGTAACGTGAACAGAGCCTATGGTGCATTATCACAGTGGCAGAAAGGACTAAGTGGGCGGGGCTTCTTGACCATAGACTGTATATGTAAATGGGAACAGCTAACCCATTTTCCTGCAGTGTTCCAAGCAAGAAGAGAGCATGGGGGCACCTCCAGGTCCATCGACTTTGTATTAGCCACTCTGTATGATCCTAGTGTTTTATTTATGTCCTCAAAAAATCCTATTCCTAATATGTTACATGGATCCAAATTCTCTCCTATATCTACTAACATCATGTGCTCCCTTTGACTGCAGCTGAACACTATGGTTGATGTAACAATCCCTTAGTCCACTTCTTTACACAGTCTATGTTCGTAGTTCAAATTGAGGTCCGGGCTTTCTGAATGACCTTTTAATCGTTCTATAATGGTATTCTCTCTCATCATTGTATTTTGACTGATTTACACAATAGAGGATGAGTAATCCTCTATTGTCCTGCATTTGAGGATTGAGAGCTCAGGAAATGTCTGTTTTCTCTTACTCCTCAAAAAAATGGAAAATAGTGATTAATGTATGCTTTAGTTGAATACAAAAATAGAAAAAAAAATCAGGATATGTAAAGAAAAGTGTATATTTCTCACAGCAGAATCTTGTTTTTTCAGAGACCTCTGCTAAGGAGGGTCTGCTGCTGTGGTGCCAGAGGAAGACTGCCCCCTACAGGAATGTCAATGTGCAGAACTTCCACATCAGGTGGGTCCACAGCGCCTCACTGTGGCTCTAAACTGGAACTGCACTCATTTCACTTCACTGCAGATTTTCCATATTTATAAAACGGAACATAATTTTTCTTCTTTTTCTTCATATTCATATATTTCTTCTCCTCTTTCCTCCCTCTCTCCCTGTGTCAGTTGGAAGGATGGCTTGGCTCTGTGCGCCCTCATCCACAGACACAGACCCGACCTCATCGACTACTCCAAACTGAGAAAGGTCCTGCTCTGTCTCCTCCTTTTATTCTTTCATCAGATTATTTTCATGTATTTTCTTATTCACTGCTTCTCTTTCATAGTATATTCTTGCCTTCAATCTTGAGCAATGCATCTCCATAAAACATGAACTTTCACAGCTTATATTCACTTCATTTTGGTTACGTTTAGGCACTTTATATGTAACATTTGATATGCACTAATGCTCATTTTCACTAAGATACCAGTGTCCGTTTTGATAACACATTTAAGATACTTTTTGTCTTTATTTGCATAGTCCAGATTTAGTCGAAGAGCTCTTTTTGGTTTAAGTTATTTTCTAAGTCAATTAAATCAATCATCATCAGTATTATTAGAATAAAATATACTAACCCCTTAACGCCTGAATTTATATAGATGTATATTAAAAAAAATGTCTTGTGTGGGTTTTTGCCTTTATGTAGATAGTAAATTAAATTGAGATTATTAATTTGACTATAGCAAAAATAAATAAATAAATAGAAATTCGGTTGTATATGTTGCAAATTTGCGACAACTAGAAACAAGCACTTGCCGAAAGTTCCTAGGAAGGTCCTGCATGTGCACTAACCAGGACTGGGGGAATGCAGCCTTGATCCAAGCGGTTTGTTGCGTATTTGTGACACTCGGCGTTAAGGGGTTAACATTTTTAACTAATAAATCATATCACATTGTATTGTAATATTATTCCTTAGATAGACTCCACTGTAGTTTGTCTGATCAGCCAAGAATAGACACACTTCCCACACTAGTAAATACATGAGAGAACCAGAAAAGAAGATTTAATCCCAGACTATGTATATTTGACTAATTGTGACTCATTTGTTTTTGACATGAAACAGGACGACCCCATCGGAAACCTGAACACTGCATTCGAGGTGGCCGAGAAGTTCCTGGACATCCCAAAAATGCTTGATGCTGAAGGTAAAAAATAAGATGCAATTTTGTATTTATTTATTTATATTTATGTTTGATAGTTTTTTTTATTACCATTTATCTTAACTTGAAAATGTACTTGTAGTATGTTAACATTTAATAATAACTACAACTTAATTAGCCATTAATAAAGCATAAACAAAGACTTAAGAATGAAGAAATAATTTCTTAATTATGAATGGCTTAGTTCCTACTTAATATAGTGATTAGGAGTGTGTTAATTATTAGGGGTGTAACAATAACCGAAATATCGTGATATTGTATCGTCAAAGTTCTCACAATAACATTGTGGACCATCACAATATATCAAATTACAAGTCTCTTTGCTGAAATTAAGAGTTATGGTGCAGCAATAGCTAAAAAAAGACAGAGGGAACTACATAAACCATGATGCTTTCCTCCATTTCAGTGTCGACTACAGTTCAAAGCACTTTTAAGTCTCAGTTCTTTGGATTAAGTCTTGTCAAGGCATTTTAAGAGGAAAAAGTATCATATTCACAGTTTTGTTTAGCCTCCACAAAATATCACAATAAATATCGTACCATGAGATCTATATTGTGAAAATATCGTACTGAGAGATTTAGATATTGTTACATCTCTAATTATGATCCTCCCCACCATATCATGAGCTTTCCCACGATATCACAATAAATATCGTACCGTGAGGTTCATACCATGACGATATCGTATCGTGAGACTTGAATATCGTCACACCCCATTAATTAAGCATTTACTGAGCCTGAATTTTTTTTAATAAACTATTATTCATTATGATTTAAATCTTTATTCATGCATTAGTATGCATTAGTTTGCTTGTCTTCGTGGAGATGTTATTGCTTTGTCTAAAATGTTCCACTCTAAAGATTAAATTGACCTATCACAAGGGAGAAAAGTAGACTACATTACAGGTCAGATCTGTGGAGAGCCGGCCCTATTCACAGAGAGAATTATTGTATTTTCTGAGCAATAGAAACACTCATAATGAATACATGTTAGATGGATGTGTTTAATGTCATAACGTGGAACATTCCAGGCAGGTGATGAACCCTCCACCAGAAAAGTTGGACAGTGCACCTTTAAAGCTAATGAATGTGTGGTTATTATAGAGTATTACCAGTTAAATGAATGATGTTTGGAGATGTTTAATTGAGTGTAAATCCTGTTTTCTAGATATTGTGAACACACCCAAACCCGATGAGAAGGCCATCATGACCTACGTGTCCTGCTTCTACCACGCCTTCGCTGGAGCCGAGCAGGTGAAGTGAAAAAAAACATGATCTGGATCTGTGTTTCCGGTGTAATCAGATTATTGAAATGTCATGTAAACAGTTCTATCTGCTGACAATTACGCAAAAATGCCAAACTAATGTGACGGCAAAGACAAAAATGGAAGAGAAAATGTCAAAGATTGAAAGAGTTAGTTTAAAATTTGCTGTACTTTGTTTCCATATACACAGTTTTTTCTGACTAATGATAGTGTTATGTGATTATTCTATTTATGTGATTATAATGGGCATGTACATACTGACTGTGGATGTGTGCTCCTCTCAGGCTGAGACCGCTGCCAACCGTATCTGCAAAGTGCTGGCTGTGAACCAGGAGAACGAGAAGCTGATGGAGGAGTACGAGAAACTGGCCAGTGAGGTGAGAAGCACATCTGAATATTACATCTGCTCTTCACCAGTGTCATTATATAAGTCACCAATGCACTTATATAAGAGACGGGGCCTGCACATTTTAGTGGAGTGTGCCTCAGAGGGGTGTCATATTTGGCATGTTTTTATTAGCAGAGAGAGCTACATAGACATAACGTTTCAAAGTTTCAGTGCAGCCAACTTGAATAAATTCTTGTTTTAACATTTTCACAAAAGAAATGATTTCTGTCAACTGGACAAGTTTTTTTTTTTTTTTAACACACTTTAGTTCCAGTTTATTTAGCTCCTCTTTTCAGACAGATATAAGGCAGTGTCTTACCAGGGACCTGCCATAACTAAAGAAATCGCTTGGTCACGGTATGATATTTATTGCGATATTGTGGGAAACCTCACGATATGGTGGGATATTGCAATATTAAAATGACTTAACAAGACTTAATCCAAAGAACTAAGATTTAAAAGTGCTTAGAACTGTTATTTCTTCATGTAGTTTACATTGAAATGCAAAGGATCATGGTCTATGTAGTTCCCTCTGTTAGCTATTTCTGCACTATAACTCTTAATTTAAGCAAAGAGACTTGTAATTCAATATATTGTGATGGTCCACGATATTACTGCGAGAACTTTGACGATACGAAATCACTATATTTTGGCTATTTTTACATTCTTACTGTTTTCTATTGAAATAAAACCTTCCTGAACAGCTGAGGGATTACACGAACTGCTTTAACTCTACATTGGTCTTAATGATTTAGGGAATAAAGTGAGCATCTACCCCAAGCCTTTTCATAATATCTCAAATATTGTACAGTGAAGTTAACACCGTACTTATATCATACTATGGACTCATTTGTTCCTCCCAATCCTTGACCCTGACATGGTGACCTCTGACCCCTGCAGCTTCTGGAATGGATCCGTCGTACCATCCCATGGCTGGAGAACCGTGTGGCTGAGCAGACCATGAGGGCCATGCAGCAGAAGCTGGAGGACTTCAGAGACTACCGCCGCATCCACAAACCCCCACGTGTCCAGGAGAAGTGTCAGCTCGAGATCAACTTCAACACCCTGCAGACCAAGCTCAGGCTGAGCAACAGGCCTGCCTTCATGCCCTCCGAGGGCAAGATGGTGTCGGTAAGTGAAACAATGATGAATAAAGATTAACATTTTAAAACTAAATATTATATCATTCTTAAAATGTTGCACAGAACAGGAAGCTGAACCCCATGAATACTGTTACGTGGATCTTTAGCTGTATTCCCAAATTGATCCTTAAAGATTCACTATGCTAGACTCTGATGGGGGACCAGACCTTTTTACTTTATGCCATACTATGAAACATTCTAAAAGCATTACTAGGCTGTATACAAGTGGTGGTGGCATTGATCAGGTGTTACATAAGGGTGAGTTGTTGCAGAGTTGTGTAGAGATTGTATGCCTGTAGTCCTGTAAATGTAAGTGAGTCCTCCTCCCTCTGTGCAGGACATCGCTAACGCCTGGAAGGGTCTGGAGCAGGTGGAGAAGGGCTATGAGGAGTGGCTGCTGACTGAGATCCGCCGTCTGGAGAGACTGGACCATCTGGCCGAGAAGTTCAAGCAGAAGTGTGCCATGCACGAGGCCTGGACCTCAGGTCAGCTCCCACTCACACACAGAGAAAAAGGACAATTCAGCATTTACCTGAGGCTTTAGGGTTCTTTAGTTATTTAGTAGAGTAATATGTCGTGTTTTAGTCGACCAAGATTTCTATTAGTCAATATTTTACTGGCATTTATAAGAACTGAAAAGATCCACAGCAGAAAGTATGTGGGAGTGACAGTTAATTGAATAATGTGTTGGTGCATTATGTAGCAGGAAGGTCTGTACAAATGTCACCACACACTGTACTGTATCTGTGACTAATAAACTTAAACCTGACTTAACATGTCTTTAGTCAGCCAAGAATTTGTTTAGTCAACAGTCCTACAAGTCATCTTTTGGATCAGATGTATTACACTAATAAAGAATGACCTGTAGTGACTGCTAATACTTGTCTTAACCCAACCCTAGTCTTTTTAACCCAAAGCGTGTTGTTCCAGGTAAGGAGGAGCTGCTGTCTCAGAAGGACTACGAGTCTGCGTCTCTGATGGAGATCCGCGCTCTGATGAGGAAACACGAGGCGTTTGAGAGTGACCTGGCCGCACACCAGGACCGTGTGGAGCAGATCGCCGCCATCGCCCAGGAGCTCAAGTCAGTCTATAATATCAATATAAAGAATATTCATGGTGTAACAATAAATACTTTATGTAGTCATACAGATTATAGTTTATAGCAGGGCTGCAAGATTAATCCCAATTAAATTGAAATCACCATTTTAATTAACACAATTAGCAAATGGCAAAGGCTGCAACTTTTAAGTACCATCATTTCCTCCACAAACTACAAAAAATTCTGTTTTATTATTCTGCATAAAAACTGCTGAGCCTGAAGAGTATTTTAGTCTTTTGGATTAGTCAAGTGGTCAAATTAGTTATTTCTTAAGTACACAAAGATTTTTAAAAACACATTTTTGACCAAATAACTGAAGGTGACTGAAGGCATCTACATGGAGAATATTTGTGACTAAAGTTTATTATTGATAATAGATGTTTTTTTAGAGCTTGTATCGTGCACATAACAATTATTTTGACAGTTGCCATGGTAACGATTAACAACTTAAAGGGCCATTTTACGCTATTGTGTATTTTTCATTCATACATGTTAAATATACAAACCAAGTATAATTAGGCTATAATTAATTATAACTATAACTGAGTTCTCTGAAACAGAAACCGATCTGTTCCACCTTGTGATGTCATGTGTTAATGCAGGAAGTGCTCCACTGTGTTTTTAAACTCCAAACACCTTCACTAGAATCATCTGGATGATTTCAGTCCTGAAATTGCCCATCTATACTGAGCTAAAGGTAAAAAGGAGCCGTTGACTTGAAAACTGCTACTACATGACATCACAAGGTGGAACAGAGCACTTTGAACTTTGGAGATGTAGACAGACTAATAATGAAGTGTTACTCAAATATGTGCGAATGAAACAAAACACAGCTCCAGGTGTTTTTGAATAACAGTATTCAGAGTCGGTTTTGTGTAATTATATATCTTTTGAATGGGGAAAAGACCTCTAAATGTTGTGAGTAAGAGTTGGCTGAAGCTCACGTCTACCTGTACAGTGCTGGTCAAACAGCTGCAGACAGGATGTGCCACAGCAGGGACAAAAGCTAAAATCATATTAATGAGCAAAGGATGAAAGGAGAACTCAAGCCTGTGATCTCTCTCTTTTTCCCTTGGCTCCTCAGGGTTTTTTACTCACAGTGTCTGCTCCATACATCCCTGTGTAACATCAAAGACTGTTCTGTTTTTAAAGACCTGCATTTGAATGCACCACCCATAATTTATCAACCACACTTCAAAAGCTCATCGTATAGATTACAAACGCCGCATGATGCAAAGTTTCAGAAAGCACAAAACTGACTTCCAAGAATTTGTGGAGCATTGATTGTAATAAATTAATGCATGTGGCAGGTTAGTTTAAAACCTAGATAACAAAAGTATAATTAAACTGTTGATAGTTTTGTAGTTTATTTTTCTTTACTTCCTGGTTAGACACAGACAGAAGATATGACAAAAAATCAAATAAACTCAGTTCAAATGATAATTCAGATATAAACATCTCTGTGTTTTGTTGTTGATAAATTGCCCTGAAACATAAAAAAAAGTCTGATATGGCTTCTGTCTTGTAAGATTAATACTGTCCTTCCGTGTGGTGGAGGTCAGGTGTCTGTGATCCATGCTCCTTTAGTTTATTTATTGCAGAGATGGAGAAGACATGCACGTGACCTAGAAACTATAATGTTAAGAAGGGCTGAAACCTGTCTAAACTACACAATAGTTATGATTAAACTAATAAAAATAAATAACACCTTTATGTTGTTAAATGAATGCTTAAAGTTTCCTTGCACATGCATTTTGGATGACATTTTCAGTGTAACTCACCACTACTTCTGTGTTTTTGTACTTTTCTTTTAATTTTTCCCCCATAATTTACACTTAACTGATGTAAAAACTAGAATGAATACTATATACCACAAGGATGATCCCAACAAACTTGTAATAATCAGGACATCATGAACGTTTGCCTTATGCCTCTTCACTATAAAATGACCAGGATGTGTAGTATTTTTGAAGGTGACTAACTTTTCCCTACTTGTGTGTAGTGAGCTGGACTACCACGATGCCGCCTCAGTGAACTCTCGCTGCCAGGGCATCTGTGACCAGTGGGACAACCTGGGCACCCTGACCCAGAAGAGGAGGGACTCTCTGGAGGTAAAGCATCACTAATACAAAAGTAAAACTGATTAAAAATATAATATAACGTCAGATCTGTAGGGGTAAAGATAATAGTAATGTGTTTGAAACCTTACTGTAGTGTCCTTTTCCTGGCATTTGCAACCAGAAGTTTAGTCAGACACATTATTTGTTTGTTTGTTGATAAGAAAGGTGCTCCTAACCATTTGTATGAGTAAAAATACTTGCAATCATAAGTAAAATATCCAATAGATTCAACTGAAAAACCCAGGTCGAACAAACCTTTCCGCACAACTATCAAGAGACTATTCCGATTCCATAATGATAACTTTTTATTTAGACAATAGCATTTTCTTTTATATTACCATGTGGTGTTATATCGTCTAGAGAGGTGTATACTTGTCTTTGTGTTCTTATACTTGTTCTGATTTAGCACAAGATCATTCTAAAGATTTTCAGGAAAGGTTAATTTATTTTGACTTTTTTTAATATCGATACTTGTTCAAATGAATATCTATAATTTTCGATTTTCGACTAGTTTTAATTATGGCTGGGTATCATTAAGCATTTGTCAATACAGTGGCCAGGATACAATACGGTTTATGATACAGTGCACTTTCGATTCAGTACGATTTGATACGATATATTTCAAAAAGATTCAATATGGTTCAGTAAAAAATCAAACTAAATTGTGGCTCTGATACTAAAAATCTTTATTAAACCACTAAGTTCATATGAAAAACACCCATTTTACTCAAAACAGTGAAAATGTCAAATGTGTCGCATAAACAAGTGAACTTTCTCCAAACAAGCAACACAACTGTAGCTCTTTCACTAAATAGTTTTGTAAAATAAACAAAAAAAAATACTCACCTCACCCACAATATCAGTACTGTATCATCAAATTAAACTATACAATATATCGATAGTTCAATATTTTTGTAGAGCCCAAGTTTTAATATCAATTAGTATCTGATTTTTGATACTTTTGGCAACCCTAATCCTGACAGTGTGTCTTTGGAACATATTTTTACAGGCTCATTCAGAACATACAGTGATCATTTAAAATACATACTGCTTGTATTGTAGTTTAGTTTTATAGTATTTCTAATCATTTATAGTATTTCTAATCAGCTCTTGGTTGGTGCTAAACTCGTGCTTGTTGTGTGTGTAGCGTGTGGAGAAGCTGTGGGAGACCATTGACCAGCTGTACCTGGAGTTTGCAAAGAGAGCCGCTCCTTTCAACAACTGGATGGACGGAGCCATGGAGGACCTGCAGGACATGTTCATCGTCCACAGCATCGAGGAGATTCAGGTGAGATGACACGGAAATATGATCACTGCTGTTCTGTGTTAAGAAGACACAGAAGAGGAAAATAATTACATTACTACAGTACAAATACTCGTCACTGTAATGGAGTAGATTTTGGGGTAAGTGTGCTAGTGAGTAGATTTGTAAAGGTCTTTTATTACGCAAAATTGATTCTTGTGAGCTTTAAGACATGTTAGAAGGTTGTTATGTCATCAGAAACATACCTGGAGTTGTCTTTTGTTTAGTTCACACATGTCTCAAACAACATTATAACATAAATCAGAAAATAGTGTAATATGGGCCCTTTAAACATCCAAATTGAGGATAATTCTAGCCATTTAATTGTAATTCACTGCATCATCTGCTCTGATTGGCCAAAGAATATACAGATTGTGGTTTAAAACAACTTAATTTAACTTTAAACGGTTTAATTAATGAAGCTTTGTATGGAAAAATGCTTCAAAGGTAACTAGTTCTTGAAGTAGTAGTATTTGTCATGCATACCTTTTACTTTTACTTAAGTACAAATTTGACAGCAGCACTAAAAGTATAATAGTTTTGTTTTCAATGTATATTTTTTTCTCTACACTGTTGGGTTAGTGGATTATGATCTGTGACAGAGTATTTGCTTGTGTGTGTGCAGAGCCTGATCACAGCCCACGACCAGTTCAAAGCCACTCTCCCTGAGGCCGATAAAGAGCGCATGGCCACAATAGGAATCCACAACGAGATCCTGAAGATCGCCCAGACCTACGGCATCAAACTGACCGGCATCAACCCCTACACCAACCTCAGCCCACAGGACATCAGCAACAAGTGGGACACGGTGAGCACAGAGTTTGTAACCCAGTGTTGAGTTCTGCCTCTGGTGGTGTCCTCATTATTCTGCAGATCTGTTTTATTTACTTATTATTATTTTGATTTAGAACGACTTTGGTTGGTTTAGTCTCAACTTTAGACCTTGGTTTGTTCTAGTTTAGACCTGTTTTGGACCTGGTTTATAGTTGGTGTTATTATATTTTTATTACTACATTGTTTATAGTTTGAGGGTACTTGACTGAACAAACCCCAGCCACCTAAACATCAACAAGTAACTGCTACTCCATTGAGAACAATGTTCTCATATTTAAAACTATTAGAGCTGGCCTGCTGGTCTCTGTGAGCAACAGCTGCTGAGCTGCAGCTTTAAAACAGTGTAATCTCTGTCAGAACCTCTCAAAACACTGAGCTCAGCATTCTGAAAGTCACATTGTGTTTAAAAAACTCTGAAGTGACAGAGCAGGACATGTTATCCATGTGTTTTGACATATATTAAGGTTTATTTATTTATTCATGTATTTATTTATTTATTTACCTGTGTGTCAGGTGAAGCACCTGGTGCCCCTCAGAGACCAAATGCTGCAGGAGGAGGTGGCCAGGCAACAGGCCAACGAGAGGCTCAGGCGCCAGTTTGCTGCCCAGGCCAACATCATCGGACCCTGGATCCAGACCAAGATGGAGGTACACAGGCTTTGTTCACACTGAGGTTTTAAATAGTTTAAACCAGAGCACTCCAACCTCTAGAGGTAGATCCAACTCTCACTCTGGTAGCTCCCCAGCAACAGGCTGGAAACCCTGCTTTAAAAGAATGTTTAGCTTTATAAACAGTTTCAATGACACAACACGAAGGCAGAAGACAATCACTTTAAACATTATCCAACACAATAGTTTGTTTAAAAGAAAGTCAAAAATAATAAGATAATGGGCTAAGCTCATCAGAAATAAGTAACATTCCAGTCAAACTCCTCCTGTCTCACGCCTTCTGTCTCACCCTTTTGCCTTCCTTCTCTGGTGTCCCCCTGTAGGAGATCAGTCACGTGTCTGTGGACATCGCCGGGTCTCTGGAGGAACAGATGAACAGCCTGAAGCAGTACGAGCAGAACATCATCAACTACAAATCCAACATCGACAAACTGGAGGGAGACCACCAGCTCAGCCAGGAGTCCCTCATCTTCGACAACAAGCACACCAACTACTCTATGGAGGTGCACACGCACATATACACACACACACACGCACACGCACACCCACCCACACACCCACCCAGCCACACCCACCCAGCCACACACACACACACGCACACACACACAGCTTTACTCTGCTGATACTTATGTCTGAGCAGGGAGGGCACGCACTATGATTTTAGAAAGAAGTATTATCATAGATGTTACAATTGAAAAATCTAAAGAATCACAGAAGTAACTGGTGGATTTTAAAGCATTATTATCTGATTTAGGTGTGAGGGGAGTGAGGTGTGATCTGCATTCCAAAAATCATCAGAATCAGAAAAAGATTTATTGTCATTGTCAGTATATAACATAATTCACAAATGTAACTCATAATAATATACTTGGGTGATATGGTGCAACATGAAACAATGAATAATATTAGGAAATATAAACTATTCTCAAATAAAATAAGGCATACATAAAAAAATGTCTTAAATACAAATAGACTGAATATAAATAACAAACATAATAAATTTAATCCATAATCACATTAAGTAATAATCACATAAGTGGTTTATCCATCAGACCAGTGTTTCTCAAAATGGAACACTGATTGAGTATTTGTTTAATTTATAGACACATCTATAGGCTTTAGGCCTTTTTTAGTCTTCATTTTTTATCTGGTGGTACTTGAAAAGCCAAATATTATTTTAAGTTGTACTTGGTGCAAAAAAAAAAACAAAAAAAACATTGTGAATGAAAGTGAATTCACTAAAAGGTTTCACTGTTTTTTTACAACTATGGTATACTAAATAATATACACGTCTGTCCTCCTAGTGTAAGTGTACCACTAAAGTCTGATATGTGTGCAGCACATCCGCGTGGGCTGGGAGCAGCTGCTCACCACCATTGCAAGAACCATCAACGAGGTGGAGAACCAGATCCTGACCCGCGACGCCAAGGGCATCAGCCAGGAACAGCTCAACGAGTTCAGAGCCTCCTTCAACCACTTCGACAGGGTCTGCTCTAACACCTCTTACAAATACATCTATAAATGCTGGCATTATTTTACTGTAAATGTTTGTTAAACTTGTGTGATGTTCCTCTGCAGAAGAGGAATGGCATGATGGACCCAGACGACTTCCGCGCCTGCCTCATCTCCATGGGCTACGATCTGGTCAGTCTGAAAATAAAAATAAAAATACAGTAAAATGTACAGTTCAGTGTGACTAAAGGCACGCACTGTGCAGCAGTTGTAAAAGGTGGATTTTACTGCAGTTGAAATATTGCATGCATGAAGAAGAAATTTTATGAAACTATTCCACCAAATAATACACTAAAACATGTATGATGTATAACTATATATATTTATAACTAAAGTCGACTAACACGTGAGTAGACAGTACACACTCTGGTTGATGACTGGTCTGTGGTTTCCAGGGTGAGGTGGAGTTTGCTCGCATCATGACCCTGGTGGACCCCAACAACACTGGAGTGGTCACCTTCCAGGCCTTTATCGACTTCATGACCCGCGAGACCGCTGAGACTGACACCGCAGAACAAGTCATGGCCTCCTTCAAGATTCTGGCCTCAGACAAGGTACAGTCCACACACCTGTGTTTACCGCAGTCAGGTAAATGTGCTCCTAACTCCCCCTTGTGTCTCTGCGCAGAACTACATCACAGTGGAGGAGCTGCGCAGAGAGCTGCCCCCAGAGCAGGCCGAGTACTGCATCAGCCGCATGACCCGGTACATCGGCCCCGACGGACCCCCCGGAGCCCTGGACTACATCTCCTTCTCCAGCGCCCTCTATGGAGAGAGCGACTTATAAAACCCCCCCCACCCTCTCATTTCTCCTTTGGGAGAGCCATTGTAACCCTACTGTCCTCCTATATGCTTTGTTTATCATCTTTTCTCTTCAAATCTTAACTCTCTGCCCCTTAGCCCTCTATCACCCCCTGCTGTCCAGAGAGGGGGCAGACCACGGCTTTGCTCAAATTAGTGGTTTAATTGGACTGTCTTGCGCTCGCTGTAGTGCTGCGTGTTTATGTAATCCACGTACATATTAAACTAACGCTAAAAGAGGCACTGAGCGCATATGAGGATTTAGGCAAAGCCCGAGTCTGCCCTTTCTCTGGCAGACATTTTGTAGAAGGGTAATTATAGAAGAACTATGATAAACAGCTGATTGGTCAGTTGGCTTGGTTCATTGTGAATTTGTGCGGATGCATGCAATGTTAAAGAATGCTGTCTATGACTGCCTTATCTATAAACCCATCTAAAGTACAGAACTCCACTTAGCAATCGAGCTAAAGAAGCTAAACTACTGCACTGTGACACCTAAAGTTAGCACTATTAACTTAAAGCCTTAAGACGCTCAGGGTCAACGGGAGGGGAACAAGAGCACCGGAACAACCAAACATGAGACAGCAAAGCACACTGGGTAATTAAAACTATGGGGCCATGTTTAGTAAGGACTGAGGAAGAGACGCAGGAAGATGAGCAGATTTGGCCAAAGAGCGTTATCCCACCGCCGCCTGCCCTGCGCCCCCTACAGGCGGCCCGGGGTAGAGCGCTGCACCTCGCCAGGGGAGAGAAAGTTACTGTGACACAAGAATCTGTACGTGGGACCAGTGCGGGCCTATGGAAGAAGACTTTAGGGTTTGGTCCTGATGTAGTTTTAGTTCACAAACTGTGACTGTGCTCTGTTCTCCTCCAACTCACTCTGTCATCACAAAATCACTTACATTGAATATGAAAAAGTTGGAATAAAAAAGGGAAATTATATTATTACACTGCAGTGGTCCGTGTTGTTTTTATACAATACAACAATACAACCAAACTCAAAATGTTTATGGACATTGTACAGTTGCTTTTTAGATTTATATCAGTTCCATGGCATTTTCATCATTATTGTTCAAAAAGAAATTCAAAAAGTGTTTAGTTTGATCTGAGCAAGGTCCATCCTCCCATATTTTCACACCACAATTTATATATTAAAGCAAAACACGTCACTTTCTGGAGGTGGCATGTCACCTGCATGATTCTACGGAAATAGAAAAGTAAAACCATCCTTTTGAACTTCCTCTGTGATTTTATATCAAGCCCTCCTCCAGGCCAAATCAATCAGTCAGGTTTGTGGAGATGCAAGCCCACTCACAGTAAGGACGCATATTTTTCATAATTTTTCAGGGCAATAAACACAATCAAAAAGAAAAAAAAAAGCTTTTTTTTTTTTTTTTAGCTTAGTCTATAGTTTTGACTAAAAGTAACCTACAGGAGTGTAATTTTACCTTTCCTCTTTTCACTTAAACCCTATGGACCAGTAGATGTCGGTGATATGATTACAATACCTTGAGTGGTCACATGTCCCGGGTGTGGTGAGGGAGCGGGTCCCAGAGCAGGTGGGGGGGCAGGTCCAGGCTCCTCTCTTGGGCATAGTTTCTCCAGCGCTCATCGTCACTTTGGTGGGTCAGATATCGACAGCCGATCCTCTGCTCAAACTCCCTCAGGTCACACCACAACTGGAAGTTCTACAGCAAAGGATCATGGGTAAGAAAACAACATGAATATGAGTGGAAGTGATATCATTTGTGCAGTATTCATATTCATTCATAGATCAATTGGGTATTATTTTTAGATTTTAGACTACTGACTAGGGTGCATCATTTGCCCAACTTTTTGAAAACATTCTGAAAATAAATCTGTACCTCATCAATTTTTTACACTTGCCAAATTAAACGTCTTTGAGAAAAGTCATGAAATTCTATTGATGTCTACTGGGTCCACCAAACCTCTGAAGTTTAGTGCCTGCGGAAGCCTTAAATCTGAGCTGAAAAATCAGTTTTTTTTCTTTACTAACATCCTTTTTCTTTCTGAAAACTTGGGTTTAGGAAACTCTGAGCCAGACCTCTCTCTGTGGCGCTATAGGTGAACGTCACACTCGCTTACTCCACTTTTTTATACAGTCTATGGTCACTACAGAAAGAGAACAAACTTTATGTCTCTCATTTCACCTTTGGCCTTTGTGGATATTGAAGAATTATGAAAAAACACTCAAAATCTTGATAAAATTGTCATATCTTAGGAGATGGAGATATAAAATTGGTACCAAAAGATACGCAATAGCAACATTTATATTCAACTTTCATTGACACCATAGACCTAAATGCATTATTTTTATTTCAAGTTATTTGAGAAAAACTTATTTTTCTGCCAGAGCCATATGGACACCATTAGAATGGAACTTAAGAGGCTTGGTGGACCATGTAGATATTATTCAACTGAGCCAAATTTGACTTTTAATTGGCATTGTCACATTTTAAAATTGGGTACAAGTTGAATTTCTGATGCCAGGGCAAATGATGCACCCTACTATTGACAAAATAGCTTAAAGGCCCTAAATATGCAAAACTGACACTTTAAGGAGCTTTACGGTATGTTATAATGTTGTTACCTCCTCAAAAACAGACCTGGAGTCTTGTTTTGTTTCATTCACACATATTTGAGTAATCCTTTATTATTAGTCTGTCTACATCTCCAAAGCTCAAAGTTCTCTGTTACACCTTGTGATGTCATGAAGTGGTAGCTTTCAAGTTAACAGCTCCTTTTACCTTTTGTTCAGTAGAGATTAGAAATTCCAGGGCTGAAATTATCCAAATGATTTTAGTGAAGGTGTATGGAGTTTAAAAACACAGAGAACAGTATTATCACGTGAAATCCTTTATTTAATTTTATTAAATTTAATGTAATTATTTTATTTTATTTTATTTTTATTTTTTTTGAGAGAGTGAAAGAAGAACTCTAAATATGAATATGAATAAATAAGAAGGCTAAATATGCAGGGCTGTGTGTTAAACATTATAACAAAGATAGAGTAAGATGGGCCCTTGAAGCGTGTACATTATACACAATTACATTACTCTTTATATTATACATGATTAAAATGAATACTTCTGTACAGTAATTGCTCAGTAATCATTTTAAATCGAGGGGAAAAGTCAATATGAGATAACTATGATAAATGGCCCCTGATTAGATAACATAATTATCATTTTCTCATTCTGTTAAGCGATTGAAATTACTGACCTGGAGCCAGAAGTGTCCCAGAGCTTTGCCCACACTATAGCGCCTCCTTGTGGACACTTGCAACAGGTTACTAATCAGATTCACAGCTGAAACGAGAGACACAAGAACTGATTTATACACAATATACAGAAATGTGTTAGTGCCATCAAGTGGAGAAACTGGATCTGACAGTAGAAATAAAATATTAAGCATCCCATATCACACAAAGTTGACTCTTTTGAGCTTTTAGTCATATTATAATCTTGTTACCTCATCAAAAACATACACACAACTCCAGGTTTGAGATGACGAAACAACATTATAATATACACTACTGGACAAAGGTTTTAGAACACACTTTTTTCCAGTTTCTGATTTAAAATTATTCAGTTTATTGCATCATTGCACTTTGAAATGAAAGCATAGAACAAATAAGCAATTTAAGTTAAAAAAGAAATCATGGAATCAACTTATGTAGCCACCGTTGGCAGATATAAAAGCTGAACACACTCGTGGCTCATTCTTTTTACAATAGAAATCAAATATTCTTCAGAAAGTTCTTCCCAAATCCAACTCGATGGGGTTTAAGTCTGGAGACTGTGCTGGTCACTCCATGTTTTCAAGCTCATCATCTTATCATTTTGTTCTTTTTTCCTGAGGTAGTTTTAGCAGAGCTTGGACTTGTGTTTTGCTATCTTTCATCTTTTTTTTAACCTCTGGCTGTTCAGTTCTTACCTTTGTACCATTTCAGGCTCTTCATTGAACTTGCACGACTTGAATTGCAATAAATAACTGGAAAAATTAGAGTGTTCTAAAACTTTTAACCAGTAGTATATATCGGAGTTCAGAAAATAGCATTATATAGACCCTTTAATAAAACACTTAGAACACTGTCAGTGGATGGGCACTAGGGCCACAGCCCAGGGGAACTGTGAGCTCCCACACAGATGCACCACATTCGGACAAAGTGTGTCTCAGTCAGAGGCATTCAATTTTACAACAGTCTCCCACTATCATTAAGAGAGACTCCAACACTTGCCACTTTCAAATCCCACTTGAAACAGTGACTAAAGGAAAACCAGACTTGTGGACACTTTTAGTTTAGAACTGTCACTTGTTATTGTTGTTTTTTCTCTGTTAAATTTGTGGTGTTACCTGCAGAGGGACTACAGATAGAAATGAGTATTCTTGCTATAATCTGGCATATTTACACAGTGCAGTGTTATAGATGTTCATTAATATGCACCATCCCTATTAAATAAATGAATGAATGAATAAATAAATAAATAAATAAATAGAACTTCTAAAAAACTAACATAGTAAAAATTTATATGGGATCCATGTCAAATAAAGGTAATAAGTATGCAGTTCTTAAAGGTGCACTATGAAGTAACTTTTGAGCTGGGGAGAAACATCTGAATATCTCCATAAATTTCTTGCTATGAATTTTTCTGGAATTTTTATAAAAACTTTAAAACTTTCAGCCATTCTTACTGCGATCCAACTTGTAACTTGACCTTGTGGTGTCGTCTGCTTGTGTTCATGGATACAGAAAAGTGTAATGCGGAAAACTTTGATGGTCTCTCACCAGAAAGCTACACAGTGCCCCTTTAAATTAAAACATGTCTAGTGAGGCTTCTACATATGCCCAATGTATTCTAAGTACCAAACAGAAATACGTTACCCTCCAGTGAAATGGGCGCCCATGTCTGTCGTGGGTACATGAAGGACGCGTTGGTGATCTGCTGTTTGATGTCTTCGTCTTCGTTAAAGGGGAAAGTCCCGCTCAGACTCACGTAGAGGATCACCCCCACAGACCACATGTCCAGGGAACGGTTGTATCCCCCCAAACCCACCACCTCTGGGGCCAGGTATGCGGGAGTGCCCACCACGGAGCGCCGGAAAGACTTCTCCCCAATGATACGGGCAAAGCCAAAGTCACACAGCTTCACCTGAAATGACACAATAACACAAATAGGTGAAATTACATGAATTAACAAATCTTTAGGTGAAAGTTGATATAAAATAGATGCTGACCTATTAGGCCTTTTGTCAGACAATCTCTCACTGACTTCTATGAGTTTCTGAGAAAACCCCCAAAGTCCAGACATCTGATTTCACAATTTGTTAGTCTTTTCTATAAACCAACCCCATCCACACATAGTAAAGCAGCCTGGGCAAATGACATACGTGCAGAGATTTTTGTTGATTTATGAGAGAAAGTTTTATGTGGGATCAAATTATGTTCAAAAAATGCCAGGCTCCAGCTTAAACAGTTCAAAGTTATATACCGCTTGCATTATTCTAAAACTAAACTGAGTAGATTTTCCCTTCTATTTCACCATTGTGTGACAGGTGTAAAATGAGTCATGGTTCATTGGGTTCAATTATTTTTTTATGTGTTCTGTACTCAAAAACTATTGGTCTAAGATTAGTCATTTATATAGTACCATATACAAGAAAATTACACTGCTTGGGTATTCGGATCAAACATTGACACACTCCCAGGCAATTCAGCAAACCATTAAGTTTGGCATCACAAAGGGGAATATTCTGAAGGAATGGAAGACCACAACACCTTCCTTTTTCCATAAATGGTTAAATGACATGATGTCTTGTTTGTATCTTTGTATCTAAGAGATTCAGTACAATCTGTCAGACCAGCAAGATAAATTTATGGGGACCTTTAATAAATCATATTAAACAGAGGAGTTGACCTCAAACTTCAAAGGACTGATCTCTAATTTGAACTCTGCAGACATTACAGACTGTTTTTTGTTTTTTTGTTTTTTTTACACACATATATATATATATACCTATTTTTATATAAATATTAGAGATGCGCGGATGGGCTATTTTTTCATCCTCAACCGTGACACAAAACTCATCATCCACCCACTATCCATTTGCACCCAAGGTTTTGACCAATTTTCAAAACGGCACTCGCCCGCCATTCGCCGATTGATTTTAGATTTTAGAACAATCATACAGCAAACAAACTAAGGAGCCTCAATAAAAATGTGTACTCCATATGTGCACTGGCAGTGTTTGTTTGTGTGTGTCTGTTTCTTCAAATGAAAAAATGTTAACCAAATAAACAATATATTAAAAAAAAAAAAAAAAAGATGCTGACCTGAGGGAGAGGATCTGCAGAAGTCAGAAGCACATTTTCAGGTTTTAGATCACAGTGAGCGATGTGTTTTAAATGCAGGTAACGCAGAGCCTCCAGAATCTGTGAAACAGGAAAACAGAAAGCAATTTAGTATTAAAACAATCTGATCTGGCACAAATCAAATCCAAAGACTTATACATTTCAGATACCTGTATTACAAGAAAGCGTGTGATGCGTTCAGGGAGTTTTCCTTTTTCACTAGACAAAATTTCCAACATGTCGCCGTGAAGTTTTTCCATCACCACAAAAACATGATCCGAGGTTTCAAACATCCCCTCCAGCAAAACCACACCCAAGTGGGACAGACTCTATGAGAACAAATCGTCTTACTCATAAATAACAATGCATTTATTTATCTGAACATGATTAAAAGATGCACTATGTAACTTTTCTATTCTGCATTTATTTAAAAAAGTAAATCAAATAAAAAGTAAATTGTCCAGGGAACTTGACTTCATGGAAATAGGTCATTTTAAAGCCAATCTGTAGATCAGTAACGTAAAGAGTTATCATGAAGAGAAGCAAGTGGCTGACCCTTAGAAACATCCCATAGTGTAGCTTTAAACAAGAGATGAGACTAACTGAGTAGCAGTATTTACAACTTGACCCACCTGGAGTATGGCCCCTTCGTTCCTCAGCTGACGCTCCTGTTTTGTGGGAAAGCGAGTTTTGTCGATGACTTTTATGGCAACTGCCCGACCAGACGTCCTGTGTGCACCTGAACGATCAATGCATGTAATAAAAATGCAATTAACTCATATATTTAGCAGGTAAGTTGCACCAATGGCTGGGTAATTAATCATATTTTAAGGAAATCAAGATTCAGATCTTTATAATAAAACAGTTTTTTCTATGATTTGGGGTCTTTTTATTGGAGAGATGCACAGCCAATCCTCTGTCAGCAGGTTTATAAAAGTCTGTCTATGTTCAAAAAAATCAATATTTGCAATTTATTAGTTTTTAATCTGGCAGAATGAAATGTAATTGAAAACCATGATTCAATATGAGGAAGAAATTCTAAGACATTTTCTGTCGCAACGCCCAGCCCTTGTTCTTCTCCATACCTCCATAGACGACTCCAAACTGGCCTGAACCCAGCACTTCATTGGTGAAGATCTGATATGTGCAGCTAATGTCCTACAAATAATAAAATATAGTTTTAAAATAAATAAAAACAATACAAATATGTACTTTAAAGTTTTACTGCATACATACCATGCCATACCAAGACTCTGCACCTGTTAAGTGTCAAAAACAGTCATTAAATAATAAACCTAATAAACATGTACATAGTTTTAGGTTAATTATCACAGGATATAATATTTGGATTCAGAAAGTTTGGTTTGATTAAGTTGGTTTATGCATAATAATCTATATCTAAATAGTATAAATAATAAATAAATAAATAAATAAATAAAGGGTTAAAGCTTTTTGTTTGTGGTGTGAAAAATAAATCTGGTAAAATAAAAAAAATCTAAACAAATAAATAATACATACATAATTAAGTACATAAACAAACATGGCAGCATAGTAAGAAATAAATTATGTTAAGTGACTGTCAACACAAAAATCCAATCATTAGACATAGCTCACTTTGCCCCTGCTGGTTGGAAGTGGTACTGCTCTGGACGGGCATCAGGGCCTGTCGGATTGCGCTCTCCCAAGAAACGCTCTCGTCTCCAGCCACGACGCAGTAAACCTGAGAGGAAGTCACCAACTCGAAGGAATGAGTACTACTACTTCTACTACTACTACAACAGTTAATACTGCTGTTACAACTGCAGTCCATGGGTGAGATCGGGGCAGAGAAGAGCACGGGGCCACGGACTTGGAGCACTTTGGACAGACAGATCTCCTGATAACACACAAAAAAACATAATTGAGTAGACTAATAGACTGAATGAACATGTGCACACTGACTTATCTAGAACTATTCACAAGCAAATTGGTGGTTGTAGTAAGAAGTCATACATTCCTACTATAGTTTTAAAAAATAAACAAAAACCGTGCTGGTCCACACCTTGTAATATTTCACACTGCTCTCATTTTGATATAAAGTGATGGTCTTGCAGTCCAAAATCCAGTAATGACGTTTTCTCTGAAGCAGATCATACAAAACTCAAGACAAAAGATACATTTTCATGTCACTTGAGTAGAATATTAATAATTAAGTATTGTATTATATCTAATAAAATAAGTCTACAGGTAGTTTTTGAGGGGAGACATTTGCTTAATTGCATTTTTGAAACATTTTTTAAGATAAACAAGTCTTAAATTTGATCTACCAGTGAGTCGGTGTTGGTGTGGTGCAGGAGCCATCCCTCTTTCAAAACTCCCTCAGTTCTTTTCTTCGTGTGATGAACAGACTGCACCAGGCGCATCACAGGGATGTAGTTACTGAAGCACGGGCTGGAGACAAAACATACACAACTTTACACTTTTTATATCAGCACATTTACAGATAATTCACTCAAACCCTAAATCATGAAACTAGCTTTAAGAGTTATAAAAGGTAAAAGCTACAAATGTTTTAGATATTAAAGGTCATGTACTCAGTTTTTCCCATGTATTTGAGTAAAATTGTTTCAAATGCTTAAAGATGCACTATGTAACTTTTCTGGTGGGGGTCCATCACCTGCTTCTCTCCATTAAGTTATCATTGCTTTTGCTATTGCTTGTCTGGAATGTTCCACAGTATGGCATTAAACTATATTAAATTATATTGCTCAAAAATAGATTGATAAACACACTTTTACTGTGAGTGAGGCTGCCTCTCCACAGATCTGACCTGTAACCTGGCCTGGTTTCCTCACCTGTTTCTCTACATGAAGAAATATTCTAGGAAAAGCAAAACATTTCTACTTTCCATCAGAAAAGTTGCATAGTGTACCTGGTTTAAACACTGCACTGATAATGTAATGGACACAAGATTCAGTACAACTTTGTGATTGATCTTGGTTTGTTTTTATAAACTGTGGTATGTTCTTTTGGCTTTATTTAACAGGACACTACAGCATGAAATGGGTTAAGAGTGCAAAAGAAAACAATGTCACAACACTGAGGCCAGCAGAACCTTCACACCTGCCACAGCCTAAACCACAGGGCTAACTTTGTCCTGCACTTTGTCTGTTTATTAGTGCAGCATTTTTCACTATAGTTTGAATCTCTCTGACAATTTAAGGTTGTATCTTAGACATGAATCAAATGCAGAATTATAGGGAAGACTCAAATATTATCCTCTGCATAACTTTGCCATGTAATTGTATATTTTGTAGTACTGAATTTACAGATCAGTTACCACAAAGCTTGTATATGTCTTCTTTTTACAGTAATTTATGAGCAAAGCAATATTAATCTCAGTGTGACCTCATGGGCTCCCTCTGCTGGTCGTCTGAGTCTCGGTCCGTGGACATGTCGTCGTCACTGAGACTTTCTTCATAAGTGACGTCCAGCTCTGACTCGCTCTCCTCTGCATCAGCAGCCGCCACCGAACAAGTCGCTAAGAATCCTGGGAAAAAAACAAGGCCACAACTATTACATACATATTCAAGCATGTCATTTCTGTTTTTATTTTATATTAGATTTGATTTTCTAACCATTGGTTTTTCTCTCTCCAGGACAGTCTTTAGGAACCAGAGGCTCACAGCGCTGATGACAGTTAAACCTGCAATCTGGAGAAAAGAAATCATCTGTATATGACGATGAAGCCTAGAAATGTTACAAATATAACTACAGTTCCATGAATTCTTCCTGACCACCATTTTGTTCATTGTAAACTGCAATAATGATATAAAACAGACTAAGAAACCCTTCACTACAGAAGTGAGAAACCCTGCCTCTTCACTGTGGCATTTCAACAAGGAAATTACACACACATGCTTTTTTTTTTTTTTTTTTTGAATGTTTACAAAAAAGTATAGAGCAGTGGGTGGGGATTCATCAGCTGGTTTCACTTCGTAGAAACCGTCTGACCTCACAGTGTTAGAATTCATTCCCTTGAAGGTAGGTGTGTACTTTTTTGTTATTTAACCAATATCAAAACCTGATATTTGGTCGTGATGTATGTAATGTGCTGCTAACGGGGTTAACTGGTATATTAAGCTTTTCCCAAATCCCGTAGGAAGAAGGGCAATATCTTTCCCCTTGATAAAATTCACCAAACATTCTCTTTGTTCCAGTTTTAAATCCTCAATCTCATGAATCGTTGCCAACACTGAATATATGGCTCTTTGCTGATTGGCTGGTGCCCGAACTTGCACTTTTGGGGTTTTTGCGAACTGCCTAGAGTATTCTGAATTCTGACCTAGTCGCTGGAGAGAAATTAAGTGGCAGAGGGTCAGTGAAAACAGACATTTTCTGAGCAGTACAGATACAACTCTGAGTAAACTAATGATGTGGAAACACTGTTATAATATGGTTAAATCCAATGAACTCCCTCCTGTGGCTGACCTGAGCACTGCAGTCCCTGTCTGAAGAGCCCTTTGAGCAGGCGGTGGCAGAGCTGGCACACGGTGGGTTTGGTGTAACTGTGGATGTGGAAGGTGTGAGGAACCATTGCTCCAGAGCTGCTGTACCCCACCTCTGCCCAGGAGGAGGAGCTGGACGAGGGCTTCGACAGGCTGATCTGAGGCGACAGGAAGACAGAGGAGGTTAGACTAAAATGTTTTCTGTATTTTCAATTACGGTTCCTTGTAAGTCAGCTGGGAATCCCCAAAAGTTTACAAAATAGTCTGTTCTCAATAAGGCTCAATAACAACTTCACAAAACATAAATAGGATCATCTCCAGACAAAACTCAAAACAAACTTTATCTTCCAAGACGAAGTAAGCCATATCCCAAAAAATTTATATGAACATTTTCCTGTAGATTAGACCAAGATTTAAATTTTTTTTTAAATCGCTGTATCTCTACTTCTAAGAGTAAAAACTAAAAAAAAACACTGCATTATTCTTGATGTAAAAAGCGTGCTCTTACCTCTTCCATGCTGCCCCCAGCCTGGTTGGAGAGGGAGTGTGATGGGGGTCTGCGTGGAGGGAACAGAGACAGACTGATGCTCACCTGCCTCCGAGCTCGGCTACAGTTATTGGGCAACTGTATAGCACAGCGTTTGTGGAAATCTAACCCACAACCTGAGGAGAAAGTGAACTTTATCAGTGTAAAAGTTTATATATTGTGATTTCTTGTCTTTTTACAGCTTCTTTATGAGTGTGATGGAAGAAAATAACAAACTGTGAGAGCAAGTAAAGGTGCACTGTGTGACTTTTCTGGTGAAGAGTCTGGTACCTGCTTGTCCACTCTACATGGAGACGCTCACACAGCAGTGCATAAGCAATAAAAAACCTGCCACTGATTAAATACATCAAAGAAAGGGTGTCCTTGTTCCTCAGTCGCCCCTGGGAGCTCTGTCTCAGGTCTTAGGGAGCAGCTGTGGGCCTTAGTGCTGTGAGCTTTCCTTCATCTTCAGAGCTCTGTTCCTCTCCTGGCTTTTATTACAGTCCACCAGGAAGACATTTCCAGTGTGACTCGACCCAATGCGAGAGACTTTTCAGAGTACTTTTAAAAATCAGATTTGGAGCTTGACAGACTTGTCTCCATTTAGCCTCGGGCTGTTTTCTCCGGCCCGTTTCTCCAGCTGCTTCACCACCAGCTCCATCTTTCTGTCTCTGTCTATGTTCTTGAGTGTGATGGCTGTGACAGTCCTCTAGGTTCTCTTCAGGTGGACATTTAGAGGAGAAACAGGTATGATGAGATGACCCCACCCTGTGACCTCAGCTCATGGACCATACATCCCATTGGCCATAACCCTCTGGGTTCTTCCTGTGACATGGCTCTGTAGCTAAACTAAGCAACCACCACCACCAGATAAGTCTCACAGTACACCTTTAATTACTGAATGGTTTATACATTTCTTGGGGTTTGTAGTTGGACCTTTTAAATTTAATTAAAAATTAATTTAGTAAATAAAACGCTTTATGAATGTTGTGTGTGCAGTTTCAGACCTGTGCACTTGAGCCCCTGCCTCACCAACCCCCACAGCATCTCTCCACAGTGATGACAGAAGGTGGGCGTGCGATAGGATTGGACGACCAGTGAGTGTGGGTGGATCCTCATCTCGGTAACCGATGCCAAACCTGAGTTCAAAACAAAACATGTTAGGGAAGTCCACAAAAAGGAGAAAACAGTAACATTTAAATGTGCACTATGTATTTTTCTATGATGCTACACCGACTGCTGGTCTCCTAGAAGATTTTGTTGCAGTGTGTGTAAAGTTACACAGTATGTACATTCTTACTGTGAGTGGGATCACCTCTCCACAGATCTGACAAGTAATATGAGCAGGTCGTGCCATCTGCTTGTCCATGGAGACAGATCAGTTTAATGCCATACTGTGGAACATTCCAGGCGAAGCAACATCACCATTCCATGGGGGACAAGCTGGTGGCACCTTTAAAATCTGTGCAATCACTATCTCATCTAATTATCTATCTTCCATCTATCTGATCTAATCTCTGTCTCTCCTTGTGCAGACCTGAAATAACGACCTCGATGAGATCCCCGTCACACAGTGTGTCATGTTCCTGGAGCAGAGTGAGGAGCAGCTCTGAGGAGGGAGAGTGTCTGAACAGGAGGATCCTCTGTCCCACACCGACCACACTGCAGCTCGGAGCCTACAGACACATGGAGACAGAAGGATGGAAATTATAGTTTTATCATTTGGACGCAGTGTTAATACAGAAACAACATTTAATATGGTTTATGGTTTGTGAAAGATTTTTTCTTGTGTTTTATCTGAGGAAACTTCATATAATTTAGTCAATAAATTCTGTAACGTTTACCCAAAACATTTTTCCAAAACATTTTCAAATTAAGCAGAATTTCATTATTTACAAAATGTAAATTTGTTAGGAAATAAAATCACATTTTGCAAGGAGGTGTGTGGGAATCTTCTGTATTGATGTTTTTTGGGTGTCTCTTTCTCCCCAGTGCCCAGCGAGCTTTCACCAGACTGATATAGGAGCAGCCCTCTGAACTCTGAAAAATCACAAGAATTCAACTCGCTGTCCGGGTTTCTCCAGTGCACAATCTTCAAGAAATAGATGTGCATTTTCATTATCATCCATTCACACTGTTCATAAAATAATAATAATAATAATAAAAATCTGAATCTGTTTCATAACTTTAGATTCTGAACTTTAGATCCATTGGGGATTCTGAGGGATTAAATGCCTTTTGTCTATAAAACACACAAACATCTACAGTACAAACTGTACAAAACTGTACATGCAGAGTAGCGGACAAAAATCAGGCTGAAGAGTGCAGACACAAATGTACCAGACCCTGCTGATCTGTGGTCAGGAGACACAGGTGCATACAAATGTGACCTGAGCTGCCTGGAAACAATGAGGGAGAGAGAGAGATAGCCTGAGAGAGTCTGAGAGACTGTGGTCGGAAATCTCATCGTGGCCCTGTGTCTGTGCTGCTGCAGAGACCACACATACACACACACGTACACACACACACGCACACACACAGGGTCCAATGAGACGGGCCAAAACACACCTAAATAGCTACACTCAAAATGACTTCTGCTGCGAGCCAAAAGATGACTCAAACATCACAAGTACACTCACAACAATTAACTGCAATATTTATATATTTTTTCTACTTTGCATACTTTCCATTTCCAGAAGTTTGACACATATTCTACTCAACCCTGTGGGTGTAGTGTTATTTTTATTTACAAGAGTCTTTGTGCACATTTGTTGGTCCATTCACATCTAGCCCAATCAAGATTTTAATACAATAAGAGCATAGAAATGAAAACATATATGTGTAAGGTGCAAATATGTTAAGTTACTGATTTTTTTTCCTTGTTATTTTTAGATGTAAAATATGAAATTGAATTTAATTTAATTTGTAGTTTGTTGTGTTATAATTTCAGATTTTTCACTTGCACAACTGCATTTACACTTCCAATCCTGGTTTTATCCCTGTTTAGTCCTGATGTAAACTTGATGTAGGATTAGTCCTGGTTTAGTTCTGATCAAGTCCAGGATTATTTCTGGGTTTTAGTTCAAATTTAGTCTTAATTTGGCTGTGGTTTGTGCAAGCCTGAATGTAACCTATACTTCACAGCCCACACAGGAACTGCACTACTCTGTTCATTCATATTATTTATTTAAAAAGCGTTTGTTTTACACATTCAAGACAAAGCTCAATGACTCGATAACATTCACTTAGGTATACAAGAATAACACCGGGAAGGCAACTATATTCTATTTTTTTTACTTTGCATGTTTTCCATTTGCAGAAGTTAGAAACATATTTTTAGAAAATTTGTGGGTGTGAGGCTGTATTTGTTTACCACAAGTGACCGTCTACAACAGTTTTCTTTGTGCACATTTACTGGTTCAGTCAGATCCAGCCCACTCAGTCCTGTAAATTGCATAAAGCGACCTTTTTTGTTTTTCCAAGACCATTTGAAAGATAATGAACCCTGTCTA